AGTGGATCGATATATCCCATCTTCACGTCAGATCTTGTGTTAGTGGAAATAATGTGATGTGTGAAATATAAAGAAAAAAGGATACTTATTTCGGACTTTGTAGTCGTTTTGGTTATTCAAAACGTTGACCCTTTGTGGGGGAGGTACCAGATGGAATAGTCCGATCTCTTCCATCTTTATAACAGATCTTGTGTTGATGGAAATACTGAGATGTACCAAGTCTGAGAGGAATCGGATTTTAATTTCGGGCTCCATGACCTTTATGAATATTCAACATTTTAACCCTTTGTGGGGGAGATACCAGAAGGAATGAACCGATATATCCCATCTTCACGCCAGACCTTCTGTTAATAAAAATATGGTAATGTGTTTAATTTGAAAAAGATCGGACCCTTACATCACATTTTACAAAAGTTATAATTATTCAAAAATGTTGATCCTTTGTGGGGGGGGGAGGTCTTCATGGAGTGGACCGATACCATTCATTTTCGCACCTGATCTTGCACTGATGCAAGTATTAGGATTTGCAAAGTTTGGAGCAGAATCGGATTATTCTTTCTTTCTCTTTCTGTGCAGTAAAATATTTTCTTTGAAATTTTTGACCAATTATTCCAAATCTTGACCCTTTGTTGGGGATGTACTTGATGGAATGGACCGATATTGTCCATTTGCTCACCTTTCCTTTCTCTTTCTATGCAGTAAAATATATATTTTTTTTAAATTTTGAAGTTTTGGTGGAGGTACCAGAAGAAATGGACCAATATTGCCCATCTCCGAACTCGATTAAGGTTTGATAAAAATATTACGATATACCAAGTTTGGACCAAATCGGATAATCCCTTCGAGGCTTGTCGTGTGCACCAGTCAGCCACACAGACAGACAGAAGCACGGACGAATATCGCTATATCGACTCCAAATGTTCTGAAAAGAATTTGGTCCAAAGAGACTTAGGGTCTAAGACCGTTATTTCGATGAGGGACGTATCAAAAGATATTACCCTCCGTAGCGCTATGGCAAAAGGTATAAAAATCAGTGCCGTTTTGATTACCTTAAATTGTTGAAAACATTTCCGCCAAGATTTTTCGACAAACTTACCTCCCTTCTTTGCTTCTCTGCTGCTTTTCAAAGTCTTAATTGTTTTCGGACATCGCAAACTAGTTTACAACTTCCGCATTGCCTGCTCAGACATTTGTTTTCCCAGTTCCTTATTAAATTATGACATTCTTTTCAGAAATTAAACAAACAAATTCCGCGCATTTTTCCCACCTTGTACTCCTCTTTCACCCCCATCTCCAACAAAAAACGTTTGAGGCAATAGCGTAAAGCTAAAAAAATGTCATGTCATATTTTTTGTCTCCTTATCAAAATATATGCATGTTGTTGTTGTCGTTGTTGCTACGGCTGTTTTTATCATTGTGTAATTTAAAGCCTTTTTCTTTTCCCAACCAACAACGTCGCAGTCATCGGCATCAGCATCATCATGACCTCATTTCAGTTTGAGGCCGTTGCGGTGTTGTTGCTGCAAAAGCGTCTCTCTAACGCAAGCCAAGGCAAAACATGGCTACACAATGTTCCGTGCATCCTTTGCTTTTTTATTTCTTTTTTTACCCCTACCTCTTCTCCTACGTTTCCATAACTACCAGGCCTCCACCATTCACTCATCCGCAATGACTTCCTTATTTCTGTAAACAATTTTCTCAACTTTACTTTTACTGGATGCGCTCGCTGCCCGTCGTCGCTGGTGGTTACTCACTTACTTGGAATCTCTAAGTACCCATCCGCACGATGTAATTCTGAATTATGACAACACACATCCTTGCTGGCAGTTTCTGGTGCATTGCCTTGCAACTATCCGCTGCTAGTGCCTTCGTTTGTTCTGTTACGGTTTTTTTCTGTTGCAGTCTATCCTTTCATTTTTTATGCTGTTCCTTTGAGTTTTTTTTTGCTTTGGAGCTAGCGAGCAATACGATGACAGTTGTTGGGCTTTTATGGCTGAAATGTTATTCTACATCCTTTCCCAAAGATGCAGCCGAAATGGAGAATAAATTTGCCATCATTAGAGTGTGTGAAGCAGAGATTTTTCGCAAAGGACTCTTGGAGGATAACATTTTTTAAGAATATTTTTTAAAAGCCATAAATTTAAGACTTCTTAAAAATATTTTGGTCAAGGATCATCCGAGCACCAGACGGGATTTTTTATCAAGGACCCTTTGAGCAACAGACGTGGATTTTTAAAGGATTTTAGAATCAAAGACCAACTGACCATTAAACGCGAATTTTTAAACGATTTTTGAATCAAAGACCGAATGACAAATTAACGTGGATTTTTAAAGGATATTTGAGTCAAGAACTAACTGACCAATAAACGCGAATTTGTAAAGGATTTTTAAAGAATATTTTTTCAAGGAACTCCAAACGTGGATTTTTAAAGAATATTTTTTCAAGGACCTCCAAACTTGGATTTTTAAAATATATTTTTTCAAGGACCTCCAACAGTGGATTTTTAAAATATATTTTTTCAAGGACTTTCAAACGTGGATTTTTAAAATATATTTTTTCAAGGACTTCCAAACGTGGATTTTTAAAATATATTTTTTCAAGGACTTCCAAACGTGGATTTTTAAAATATATTTTTTCAAGGACCTCCGGAGCAACAAACGTGGATTTTAAAATATATTTTTTCAAGGACTTCCAAACGTGGATTTTTAAAATATATTTTTTTCAAGGAATTCCAGACATCAGAACGTGGGTTAAAAAAAAAAATTCCAGGTATTCCAGACATCAAAACGTGGATTAAAAAAAAAATCCAGGAATTCCAGACATCAAAACGTGGATTTTTAAAATATATTTTTTCAAGGACCAACAGACCTACAAACCTGGCTATTCAAATAATATTTTTTCAAGGACCAACAGACCTAAAAACCTGGATTTTTAAAGAATATTTTTTCAAGGACCAACAGACCTCCAAACGTGGATTTTTAAAGAATATTTTTTCAAGGACCAACAGACCTCCAAACGTGGATTTTTAAAGAATATTTTTTCAAGGACCAACAGACCTCCAAACGTGGATTTTTAAAGAATATTTTTTCAAGGACCTCCAAACGTGTATTTTTAAAGAATATTTTTTCAAGGACCTCCAAACGTGGGTTTTTAAAAAATATTTTTTCAAGGACCAACAGACCTACAAACGTGGATTTTTAAAGAATATTTTTTCAAGGACCTCCAAACGTGGATTTTTAAAGAATATTTTTTCAAGGAACTCCAAACGTGGATTTTTAAAGAATATTTTTTCAAGGAACTCCAAACGTGGATTTTTAAAGAATATTTTTTCAAGGAACTCCAAACGTGGATTTTTAAAGAATATTTTTTCAAAGACCAGCAGACCTCAAAACGTGGATTTTTAAGAAATATTTTGAAGGACCTTCAAACGTGGATTTTTAAAGAATATTTTTTCAAGGACCCTTAGACCAATAAACGTGGATTTTTAAAGAATATTTTTTCAAGGACCTCCAAACGTGGATTTTTAAAGAATATTTTTTCAAGGAACTCCAAACGTGGATTTTTAAAGAATATTTTTTCAAGGAACTCCAAACGTGGATTTTTAAAGAATATTTTTTCAAGGAACTCCAAACGTGGATTTTTAAAGAATATTTTTTCAAGGACCTCCAAACGTGGATTTTTAAAATATATTTTTTCAAGGACCTCCAAACGTGGATTTTTAAAATATATTTTTTCAAGGACCTCCAAACGTGTATTTTTAAAGAATATTTTTTCAAGGACCTCCAAACGTGGATTTTTAAAATATATTTTTTCAAGGACCTTTAGACCAATAAACGTGGATTTTTAAAGAATATTTTTTCAAGGACCTCCAAACGTGGATTTTTAAAATATATTTTTTCAAGAACCACCAAACGTGGATTTTTAAAGGATATTTTTTCAAGAACCACCAAACGTGGATTTTTAAAGGATATTTTTTCAAGGACCAACAGACCTCCAAACGTGGATTTTTATAGAATTTTGGACCAACAGACCTCCAAAAGTGGATTTTTAAAGAATATTTTTTTAAAGACCTCCAAACGTGGATTTTTAAAGAATATTTTTTCAAAGACCTCCAAACGTGGATTTTTAAAGAATATTTTTTCAAAGACCTCCAAACGTGGTTTTTTAAAGAATATTTTTTCAAAGACCTCCAAACGTGGATTTTTAAAGAATATTTTTTCAAAGACCTCCAAACGTGGATTTTTAAAGAATATTTTTTCATAGACCTCCAAACGTGGGTCTCTTTCATATTTTCTCAAACAGCTATCTTAAATCTGTAAATCTTACAACAATCTGCTAAGAAGGAATAACAGCAAACAGCTTATTATAAATTATGAAAAATTCAACAAGCCTCCCCACGCTCTCTCTCTCCTCCTTTTCTCTTTTTAGCAAATAATAAATTACTGTGAAAATATCTTCAAGTCAAAGCAACATCGTTATAACCTTTAAGCATTCCTCGGTTGGGTCTCATTCCCTCGAATATTTTTATTACCCCACAATGGATGATGTTGATGTTACCACCTCATCATCTTCTTTTCAGCCATTGTGTAAAACATAAACGGAAATTTTATTAAGGAAACAACCCGAAGGCTTTTCCAAAGTAGTTGTCATAAAAGCCCTGTTTTTGGTTGGTGTGGAGCATTTCTTTGCATTTTTCTCTCTGTCGTGGCGCCCAACATTAGGCGGAAATAAAGAGATAACTGTTTAAATTAATGTTACTGTCTGTCTGTCTGTCTGTCGGTACACGAACTTCTCACCACCCATTCTGTCAAAATTAAAGTCATTTAAATTTTGACAAAGTATCGTGGCTATTGACTTGCTTGTACCACAGATGGCAGTGTAGGCGCGTGTTGCTCTTGAAATGTTTTAAGTGTCATATTTATGCTGATGATGAAATCAAAATGGATTTACAAATCATATAAAATTAAGTATTAATAATTTGTTTTTCTTTTACTTTCAGATTTTGGGAAGATTGCTGAAATAATTACGACATAAAAGGTAAATTTTTTAATTTTTGTTTCTTAAAAATGCACGACTATTGATCCGGGATTCTTTAGAGAAATATTTTTCTCTTTGTTGTCATCCTTCCAAAATTTGCGTTGTTTGCAAAAACACACAAAATACGGCTTTAACCCTAAACTTATATGAATTCCTGCCGTTTAGATAAAATTTAGACTTTTGACGTCTCCTAAAGAGAGGTTACTTTAGAGGTTACTTTTCAACCGTAACTTTTTGACCGTAATTATTAAAAAAAAAATGAATTTTGTTGCATTGTGCCATTGGTCTGTTTATCCTCGAAAAAATATTCTTCAATATTCCTCGATTATTGGTCTGTAGGTCCTTGAAAAACTATTTTTTAAAAATCCTCATATATTTGTCTAATGGTCCTCGAAAAAAATAATCTTTACAAATTCACGTTTGTTGGTTAGTATGTCCGTTAGTTCTGGAAAAAAATATTCTTTAAAAATCCATGTTTATTGGTAGGTTGGTCATTGGAAAAATTATTATTTAAAAATCCTCGAATATTCCACAGTCAGTCATTGAAAAATGTGAGTTGACCCTTGGAGATTTTTTTTAAATCCAAGTTTATTGGTCAGTTGGTTTTTGAGAAAATATTCCCTAATAATTGGCCATTCAATTTCGGTAGCTTCTTGAAAAAATTTCCTCTAAAATTCCACGTTTATTGTACTGATGGCCCTTAAAAAATATATTTTAAAAAAACCCATGGTTGTTAGTTAGTTCGTCCTTGAAAAAAAAAATCATTTAAAATTCCACATTTGAAGGTCTGTTGGTCCTTGTACAAATATTCTTGAAAAATCCCTGATTGTTGGCCGGTAGATCCTTGCATAAATATGATTTAGAAATTCACGATTATTTTTCGAAATATCCATAAACAAATATTCTTTAAAAATCCACGGCTACAGGTGATTGAAAAAATATCCTTAAATATCCTTATATATTTTTTCAAGGACCAACAAACGTGAAATTTTAAAGAACATTTTTTTTGAGGACCTTCAAAATTCCACGTTTGTTGGTCCTTGAAAAAATATTCTTTAAAATTCTACGTTTGTCAGTTTGTAGGTCCTTTAAAATATATCCTTTAAAAATCCAAATTTCTAGTCTCAGATGCTGGTCTGTTGTTCCTGGAAAAAATATCTTTAAGAAAAATCCACGTTTAGAGGTCAGTTGGTTCTTGACAAGGTAGTCCTTAGAAAATATTCTTTAAAAATCCAAGGTTAAGACTTAATTGGTCCTTGAAAACATTATTTAAAAATCCACTTTTATTGATCTGGAAGTCCTTGCAAAGAATTCCTTAATAAGGCACGTTTATTAGTCAGTAGTCCTTGAAAAAATATTTTTCAAAAATCCAAAATCTCCTTTGCCGGTCAGTTGATCCTTGAGGAAATATTCTTTAAGAATCTCCGTACGACAATCTTATGATCATTGAAGAAATATCCTTTAAAAATCCACATTTATTGGTCTGTAGGACCTTGAAAAAATATTTTTTAAAAAATCCACGTTTATTGGTCTAAAGGTCCTTGAAAAAATATTCTTTAAAAATCCACGTTTATTGGTCTAAAGGTCCTTGAAAAAATATTCTTTAAAAATCCACGTTTATTGGTCTAAAGGTCCTTGAAAAAATATTCTTTAAAAATCCACGTTTGGTTGTCCTTGAAAAAATATTCTTTAGAAATCCACGTTTGGTTGTCCTTGAAAAAATATTCTTTAAAAATCCACGTTTGGTTGTCCTTGAAAAAATATTCTTTAGAAATCCACGTTTGGTTGTCCTTGAAAAAATATTCCTTAAAAATCCACGTTTATTGTTGGGATGGTCCTTGAAAATATATTCTTTAAAAATCCATTTTTAATTGGTCTTAAGGTCCTTGAAAAAATATTCTTTACAAATCCACGATTATACCTCAGATAATCCTTGAAATTTTTTTTATAAATCCGCGTTAATTGGTCAGTTGGCCCTTGCAAAAATATTCCCTAAAAATTTACGTTAGTCAGTAGGTCTTTGAAGAAATATTCTTTAAAAATCCTAGGTTATTCCACAATTCGTCCATGAAAAAATATCAGTTAGCCTTTGCAGAAAATTTTCTTCAAAAATCCACGATTATAGTTCAGTCGGCCTTTGAAGAAATATTCTTTAAGAACCCACGTTTGATAGTCTGATTGTCCTTGAGAAAATATTCCTTAAAATTTCAAGTTTATTGGTCGGTTAATCCTTGAAAAAATATTCCTTAAAAATCCAATTTTTTTGCTCGGTTGGTCCTTGATAAATATTCCAAGTTTATTGATCTGTGGGTCCTTGAAAAAATATTCTTTAAAAATCCACGTTTATTGATCTGTAGGTCCTTGAAAAAATATTCTTTAAAAATCCACGTTTATTGATCTGTAGGTCCTTGAAAAAATATTCTTTAAAAATCCACGTTTATTGATCTGTAGGTCCTTGAAAAAATATTCTTTAAAAATCCACGTTTATTGATCTGTAGGTCCTTGAAAAAATATTCTTCAAAAATCCACGTTTATTGATCTGTAGGTCCTTGAAAATATTCTTAAAAAATCTAGGTTTACTGGTCTGCAGGTCCTTGAAAAAATATTCTTTAAAAATCCACGGTTGGAGGTCTGTTGGTCCTTGAAAAAATATTCTTTAAAAATCCACGTTTATTGGTCTGCAGTTCCTTGAAAGAATATTCTTAAAAAATCCACGTCTGTAGGTCCTTGAAAAAATATTCTTTAAAAATCCACGTTTATTGATCTGTAGGTCCTTTGCGAAACTCTCGTAAGCAATCTAGGTTTAATGATCGGTCCTTGAAACAAATATTTTTTAAAAATCCTAGAATATTCCACAGTTTGCCCTTGAAAAATTGTCAGTTGGCCCACGTTTGTTGGTCTGATGGTCCAAGAAAAACTGTCCTCTAAAAATTCATATTTTGTGGTCAGTAGGTCTTGAAAAATATTTTTTAAAAAATCCGTTTTTTTTTGCTGGTTTGCTCCTTGAGAAAATATGCTTTAATCTTAAGAGTCCTTAAGAAAATATTTTTAAATATAATCGCCATGACCTTGAAATCAATATCCCCTCAGTTACCTCAGGATTAACTTCTGTTAAGTGGAAACAAATATATATTCTCCGCTTGTAAGTCGCTTACATTGTAGACTATTACAAACATAAATATGAAAATCCATCAAACAGATGGCGCCAAAAGCGCCCGGCAGCAGATATAGTGAAATATTATACTTTTAAGTCGACCCCACCAACATTATGTTCCAACGTTTAAATGACTTGGAATGTTCTTTCTCTCCGAGTGTGTGCGTGAGGTTTTTGCGGTTTCTTAGAACTAGAAATGACTTCTTTTGTTGTTTGTGTTGCAGTGATGGCAAAGTCGCCAAAAGAAGCAAGCAACCGGCAACCGGTTGCCTATTTTGCCTTCGCCTATCTGTTAGCCTGATGTTGCGCCCCCATGGACAACATGGTTCATACCACAGAAAAAAAAAACACGAAGAGAACCTACGACGACAACCACAACAGCAACATTCTGCTTGGATATTTTGTCTGCTGCTTTTTCGCAGAAATGTTGCTGTTGCTGTCGTCTGTGACTACCGCTGGCAATTGGTGTTGCTGTTGTTGTCGTGCCGACATGTCTTGTTACAAGCCTGTGTCGTCGTCGCCATCGCCAGCCTTTTGTGATGTTATTAAAATGTTATTTCCTGATTATTTAAGGCTAAATCGTGGCTACGGGCATAATTTTTCTTTTCTCATGTCGCTTTATCTTCTTCATCTGCTTCTTTGTATTATTTCATCATCGTCTTGTAATCTTTATTTTCATTTGTTGTATACGAGCGTAGGAAGGAAGGGAATGCTATTGGCGGTAATCTTTGGAATTTCTTGAATATGTGTCCTTGAAAAAAGCGGTTGCCATGGCTTTTTGTGAATCCTTCAATCCTTTCCAGACATTACTTTTGTTTGTCTTGTTTATCTGGTTGTGATACGAACCTCTTTTCCCTGGGGATATTTTTGTCTTATATCTGATAATAGCAAAATAGGAGCTCATCGTAAAAAAGTAAACTAAACTAAAAATAATTTGTTGCAATAGTTTGGCCACTCAGTCTACATTTCCATGAGTCTAAAGACATAAAGGATATGGGGGGAATTATGAGAAGTCGAAATCCTTAAACTTTTCTATGAAAGTAGGAATACCGTCGCAGCTCTTCTATGAAAGGAAGTAAAACATACACAGCTCTTCTAAGGGATAGAGAAGATCTTTAGCTCTTCTCTAAGAAAGAGAGGATCTTTTGCTCATCTTTGGAGGATAGAAGATCTGCAGGTCTTCTATGGAAGATAAAAGACCGTCACGGTCTATTATAAAAGGTAGAAATCGTGCTGCTTTTTCACGGAAGATAGAAGACTTGGAGCTTTTCTTTGTCTGATAGAAAACTTTCACAAAAGAGATGACTATACAAAGAGAACACCCTCTTTAAGTCCTCTATGGGAAGACCTTCTTGAGAAATAGATTCTCTTGTGCAGGAACATTCAAATTTCAAGGTACATTTATATGGGGACTATACCTAAACGTGGGCAAATATAGCCCATTTTCTATAATCAGTCGATCTAGCGATGTCCGTCCGTCTGTCCGTCTGGCTGGAGTGCACGATAACTCTTGAAGGGAGCATACGATTTAGCCCAAACTTGGTACATTGTAATATTATTATCTAATTTTGATCGAGTTTGGAGAAGGGCAATATCGGTCCACTACTTCTGGTACCTCCCCCACAAAAGGTCAACATTTTCAAAAACATTTTTTACTACACAGAAAGTTAAAGAATAACCCTATTTTGATCCAACTTTGCAACTCCTAATATTTGCATCAGTGCTAGGTCAGGGACGAAAATGGAAAATATTGGTCCACTCCATCAAGTACTTCCCCCACAAAGGGTCAAATTTTTGAATATCCAATCTTCATTACATTCAGACACCTTAATATTCCATTATCAAC